CACATTATACAGTGCATGAGAGCCAACCCAAATTTTTAGAGACCACACAAGGCCTTTTGTCTTCACAGCATCCTCCCCTGCCTACACACCAACATTTCATACTGCCCAGAGCTTCAAGTCTGGCATTGCCTGGAACCACTCCAGAAATCTTGAAATCTTAAACTCTTAAATTCTTCTCTCAGAATTTTTCACACTCCTAGTTCTCTCAATCCCTCCTTGTACTACACTCCTCGCTGACCTCATGCAAACCTGAAATCTCTTGCTTCTTCTGTTTTTTCCTAGCCTACCAGTCCCGCACCTGGTCCCAAAAAAACTTAAAATAGTTAGCATTGATAGAGCTCTTTTGATTGCCCTTAACTTGCTCTTTGAGTCCCCTCAAACTATACTAGTATGCACCATTCTCCCCAAGTGCTCTATATATACAAAAGTCTTGACCTCTCCTGCTCAACAGATTACCTTCCTCTCTACTTCATCAAGAAACATTGAGACTTTCAGACATGCCCCCTCTCTACTTCTTCTCTTCCCCCCATCAAGCTCACCTACAATCATCCTTAACATCTTCCCTTGAGTCTCAGTGAAAGAGGTGTCCTACTTTTGTTCAAGGCCTGCTCCTTTTCCTGTGTTATCAATTTCATCTTATATGTCACCTCTTAGAATTTACTCCATTAATTTTATAGCGTTTTATCTGTCTTTCATCTGGCCCTCTTTGCTAGTGTCTTCTTATCAGCTTGACTTCCTTGATTTCATCCTAGTCCCTCGATTTCTATTGCTGAGGTTATCAGTATATTGTTATTTCCAAAATTGAGTGGGCATCTTCAGTCTCTTATTTCACTGGACACCTCTGCTGTAAATGATGCTCTTATACACTTCCTTATTCTTAATACAACACTATTCATTGGACTTTAGTAACCCCTTACTCTCCTGGACTCTATTCCTTCTTGCCTTCTGAGTTTGCTCTTCCTGTTTTTAGCTCTCAAACGTTAGTGTTCCCCCAGGGTTCCTCCCTCAGCACCTCTGATTCCTTCCCATTCCCCCACAGGGAACTTGTCCTCATGTGTTTCGACTCCCAAAAGATACCTAAATTGTGTCCTCAGCTGGGACCTATTCCCTAAGCTTCAGATTTTAATAGTTAACCAATTCCTGGACATCTCCACCAGTGTCCCATAGGGACCTAAAGCTAAATCATGGTCAAAGCTGAATTCAGTCTCTCCCATGTATCGGTTTCTATCTCAATATCCTGCATCTCCATTGGCAGCACCACAGGTGCTGGGAAACTGGGGGATACCCATGACCCCTACTCTCACCCCTCTATCAAAGCTCTACCAAGTCCTACTGTTTTCATCTTCTAAATGTTTCCTTAATTCTACTTCTTCTCTTTATTACTCATTATCTCTTTCATTACTAGCCCCATTAAGTTTCCTAGTTTTTTTTTCTTTTCTTTTTCCCACCAGGACAGATATACATAAAACACCAATCTGCCACAATCACTTCCTATTAAAAATAGCATAGTGATGTTCTTTCACCTGTAAAATAAAGTTCTAGCTCCTTAACAAAATATAATGACTTCATAGACCCCACCCTCTTTTGTTAGCCTCATTTTCTGCTATTCATTCTATTCCAAACTTAACAAACTGCCTGTTGCCATTCATTCATCATGCTGTTTCTCACCTCTGTTAAAATGTGCTTCCTGTCCTCTCCTCTCTACTGACCAACTCCTTCTCATGAATATGTATGTGGCTCCATGAATACTTATGTGGCTTCCTCATTACTACAGTATGTAGGTCCCCCTTTCTTTATATTTCCATAATAAGATGTATTTACTTTTTCTGTGTTTGCCTTAGAAATAGAACATGAGTTTCTTGAGGGCAGAGGGCACTATGACTCTAGTGTTATGCCTGGAACTGAGAAGATATTTAGTAAGTATTTACCGAATAAAGGGATAACTAAATTATTAAAGTACTTTGTATCCATTCTGGTCATTCTTTTTCTTTTTTTTTTTTTTTTAATACTACTGTGTAGCATGGACAGTAATGTTCACCAAATATTTCATGAATTTCTCTTATAATTCACAACCTTTCTTGAACTTAGTTTGCAGCCTTATAAACAGTTCTAGACATGGGGCTCTGAGCAGAGGTGATATGGGTCACTTCCAGTCTGAGATCTTTAAGAGCAGTGGCTGGTTTTCTATACTCTCTTCTCTGCTTTGACTCTTCTGGAAGTCTTGAGATGGTGGCAACACAATGCTCTGGGGGCAGAAACCCAGGACAATGGACATGTCATGGGAGTGGGAAGTAAGCCACGTGGCATCAAGCCACTGAGATTTCAGGATTAATTTGTTACCACAGCACAATCAAGGTTATCTTAAATAATGCTCATTGTTCAACATTTATAAATTAATGTCCATCTTATTACAAGCATAAGGTTCTATTGAAGTTACCAGTATGAAACTCTTTTTCTAAAGTCTGCATGATATGTAGGCTTACGGAAATCTGCACCATGTGACTGATATTTCCCAACGAGCCTGACTGTTCTTAGCCAGCCCTCTGCCTCAAAGCCTCTGCACATCAAAGTGGGCTTCGCACTTGATTTGTTTTCCATTCTTGCCCAGCTTAACATACAGGTAGAGTAGTTCATCTAAGTAAAAGAATATTTTCCTACACAAAAAAATCTCCCACATTTATTCACACATGCCTCTGAGTCTATAGCTGAATGCCAGGCTCTAACTTTAGATTTCGATCCTTGGGGTTTTTTTTTCTGTTTATTGAGAGTTTTTTTTTTTTTTTAACTTTTTAAAATTTAAATTCAGTTAATTAACATATGATGTATTATTTGTTTCAGGGGTACAGGTCTGATTCATCAGTCTTATATAATACCCAGTGCTCATTACAATACTTATCTTCCCCTATGTCCATCACCCAGGTACCCAATCCCTCCACACACCCCAACCCCAAACAACCCTCAGTTTGTTTCCTATGATTAAGAGTCTCTTATGGTTTGTCTCTCTCTCTCTGGTTTCATCTTGTTTCATTTTTTCCTCTCTTCCCCTATGATCCTCTACCTTGTTTCTTAAACTCCACATATCAGTGAAATCATATGAAAATTGTCTTTCTCTGATTAACTTATTTTGCTTAGCATAATACCATCTAGTTCCATCCGCATCATTGCAAATGGCAAGATCTCAATTTTTTGATGTCTGTGTAATAGTCAATTGTATACATATACACCACAGCTTCCTTATCCTTTCATCCTTGTTATAGCTGAAATTTCTCCAAAGAATAGTAACATATTCCATTGCAATTGCAGTCTAAGGGCATCAGAGACTCTCTCCAAAGTAGTCCTGGCAGTCTCTGAAGCCTTCCTAAAGTGTCAAAGATGTGTGCATATAACTTCTGCTAACCGACAATTACCAATATTCTCATCATAACATAGGAATAATTCCAGTCTTTTCCACTATTATCCTATAAAATACACTGTTTTTTTCCCTAACTAGGTCTCAAATATTATTGAACTATGGTTGTATCTTTTTTCAGTGATAATTTTTTTTTTTTTCAGTTGAAAGAGACAAAACATCTGACTTTAGGTGTGGCTTAATTTCAGCCTAATATGTTCTCAGGATCCATCTTTTAAATCAAACAGGCTTTTCCCTGCTTTTCATGCCCAAAGCTCCCAGGGCTGCACCCTTCCAGTTTCTAATCCAGCAGAAAAGAACAGGAGTCTCTTCCCCTGAAGTCTCAGTGAAAAAAACTTTGATTCTCATCTGCTCTAAATGGATCCTGTTCCCATCCTTGAGCCAACCCCTGAGGCCAAGTGAATACAACGTACTAATTAGCTTAGGCATTCTCACTTCCCTGAAGTGACAAAAAGGAATGAACTTCAAGGGACACAGGTGGCCTGAAGGAGCCTAATGGGAAAATTTTTGGAGAGAAATCCTAAAAAGTTCATCACAAATCAAGAGGTGATGCTGGTAGCGATGGCTTCCTTTATCCTCTCTATATATTTTGCTGGAATTTAGAGACAACTTCAATCTAGGGATTTAGAATTTTTCATTATTCCTTGTGTGTTATACCTAGATCATATTCTCTCTCTCCTTTCTTTGAACTTCTCTACATTATTCTTTTCTCTCATATGCTACCTACTGTTTCAGTTATTTATATGTATTTGTCTCTTTGATTATATCATCAGCTACCTCAAGGCAGGAACCAGATTTGAAAATTGTGGATCCTGCCTTGTGCCTTTCATATATGAGGCATCCCCAGTATTCAACCAATAATAATTTGTCAAGTAAATGAAGGGATAAGAAATGAGTGTGTCTAATTCATACTATCATCATTTCATGGTAATGTAATCCCTATTGGGAGTATGTGTGTAAGGTTCTACTACACACACACATAATAAAAACTGTATGCTAAGTACCATGCCAAACAATGGGATGAGGAATAGTAATTAAAAAACAAACATTGCTCTGCCCTTCAAAAGCTTATATTCTAGTGAAGACAAATACACTGAGTAATTAGAGTATAATAAATGCTCTAAATGGTGATTATAGGGTATTAAGAAAGAATAATCAATTTTTTAAAAATTTTTTATCCATTATTTTTATTAACATATAATGTATTATTAGCCCCAGGGGTACAGGTCTGTGAATTGCCAGGTTTACACACTTCACAGCACTCACCATAGCACATACCCTCCCCAGTGTCCATAACCCAACCACCCTACCCATATCCCACCTCCCCCTAGCAACCCTGTTTGTTTCCTGAGATTAAGAGTCTCTTATGGTTTGTCTCCCTCCAGATTGTTGTTCTGATTGTTTCCAGATCAACTCTAGGTTGACTACCTCAGGGACTACCAGTTTTGATGGAGGTCTGTTAAATTTAGGACTGCTTGGAGGATTAATATTAGATTCCCAAATAAAGTTTCCAGATTCAAGAAATTACACTTATATTTCTTGTGCTAAGAAATGACTAATTTTGTTCTCTTTCTCCCTATCTCTCTCCTAGCCTGAAGTTCTGGATCAAATACAAAATTTAAGAGAGTTGTGGATGGATAATAATGCATTACAAGTGCTACCTGGGGTATGTAAGTTTTTATTATGACATGTTGTCTAGAATCTATGTTATATATTAGTTATAATTAATAATAATCTTCATTTATAAATCTCAGTGTTTGCCTTTCAATGTAAAACATTTATTTGGTCACCAAGTGTTTTTCATTAGTTGGTGTTTTTTTGTTTCTGTTTTTTTTTTTCCCCACATACCTTCTGTAAATGATGTAGGTATATAAAATGTATGAAAGATTTTTCTTGTTCTCACAGGATTACATTTTGCATCTCTCCACATACTGAGTTTTAAAAGCTGAGAAATTTATATTGCTATATATGGAAAAAGAAAATGCTACATATAAAATCCAAGTCTTGTTTTTACAGAATCAAACATAGTCCTATAGGTAACTAGATAATTGTTTCTGCTCATATTGTTAGAGCTCTTCTACAAAATAAAAATCTTTCTCTCAGTTTGGGTGATTTCCAATAGAATACATTTAAATTTTTAAAAATGGTATATGACAAATTACAAAAAGTTAAAAATAGACCATTAAACTAGAGTCCATTTTTTTTTTCAACTAATAGACAATCCAGTAATATCTCCCAAGGAGAAGGTTTACCAGTCAACTCATTGAGTGTGAACGTTCCTGCCTTTTCCATTCAGAGAAAGAATGGCCGCATGAAATACTGCCTCTTGCCACTCATAATATATGCACTCAAATAAGCATGTACATACACATACACACATCAGCCACAGTTTTCTTGTTGGTAATAGCCAATTCCAAATCCCTTGCATTGGGCCTAGCAGAGAGGGCAGCTGGATTTTTAATAACTCTTCAGCCACTGAGATTTAGATGTGTGTTGTCAAAGCCAGTTTAATTCTTCTTTTGACTCGACATTAAAAATTCCTTAAAATGATTGCGAAAGCAACTAGAACAAGAGGTTTTTCTTTTTTGAACAAGCATGAAGCCACATAAAGGAGAAAATCTGGCAAAAGATTAAGGAAGAAAATGCTTTCTTCTCTTATCAAAAGAATACATTTATACTGTCATCATAGATACAAAACAAAAAAGCATGCACATCCTTTATATATTGATTTATTTAAAAACTATTTATAAATACACCTCTATGAAACAGAAACTATGCTAATGTTAGGGTTATAAAGCTAATATATTCAATGACCTTGAATATATTTATTTGAGGAACTCACACATAACAGGAAAGATAGATACAGATTCCACTACACATAGTAGAGTCTGATTTGTGCCATATTCAAGGCATGTACAGATCCTGGGGCAATACAGGTAAGACACATCCATTCCCTATGCAGAGATGAGGATCAAAATGTGTGTCTAGTTGGAAAAGTCTATACCTGCCTCTTTGACATATTTATTAATTCAAAAGCACCTAGATAATGCCTAGCTCATGATAAATGCTAGGTGTTTTACAAATATTTATTCACTAAATCCTCATAATGAGCTTATGAAGTAGGGTTTATTACCATCTCCATGTTATGGATAGATGATAATTCAAACCAGAACCAGAAGCTGTTGTTCAATATGATGTTCCAGAATGCCACTGCTCTAGAATCAACAGAAGGCAAAATGGGAATTACGTTCATCTTACTTTTCATAGTCATGACATTCCCAAAATCCAACCTTGAAAGTCAGCTCAGACCTCAAATTCTTTAGTAAGCTTATTGTCTAAATGGAAAAGTGGTGATCAAACTGTCCATGAAACAGATAGTGCTGCCTAACTTGTCTGTTCCAAGAGTAGATTTTTCTTATACACTACTTTAAAAGTAGATTTCTCATTTTATTTTTTCTTAAGACTTATTTATTTATTTGACAGACAGAGATCACAAGTAGTCAGAGGCAGGTAGAGAGAGAGGGGGAAGCAGGCTCCCTGCTGAGCAGAGAGCCTGATGCGGGACTCGATCCCAGGACCCTGGGATCATGACCAGAGCTGAAGGCAGAGGCTTTAACCCACTGAGCCACCCAGGCACCCCATAAAAGTAGATTTCTCATTTTAGTTAGTACACTTGAGTTTCATATTTTGCTCTGTTCCTTGTGGGAATATCCCCACTTCCATGCCATAAAGAGGCATAGTTTTCTGAATGTCTATGCTGGCAAATAGTTGCTATGCAAGTACCTAGAAACACATGTCCTTGAAAAGCTAATCTTGAATGCAAGCTTTAGCTATCCCGTGTCTATCAGTTTCACAGAATGATCATTCCTAAGTATTTAGTGTCACAAGACACAGGGGAAAAAAGCAAGTTCATCTTATTACTTCATGTATCATAATATATTAAATTACTTGTAAAATACTTTTGGAAGCCTGATCTATCATTTTGCTACTCTGTTTTTCATAAATCAGAGAAGCAAGTAGATGATGATGAAAAATTAATCTTCTACATAGCTGTCTTTTGACTGTCCCTCTAAGATCAGTCAACACATGACTAAACAACCCATTGAACCTGTGTTTATTCTTAAACAAACTTCAGTATCTTCTTTTGTTTGTGACGGCTTGCATTCCTTTCGTTTGCTGTCTACTGCTCACTTATAGACCCCTTTTTGTCAAGGGATGTTGGAGCAAGATTCGGTATCCCCCAAGGACTCTGAGACATTGGACTTCGAAAGCCTTTATCACTCCAGGTTACTATAGCCCTTATAAGGTGTTTGAAAGTGAGGGTTTAGAAAGACTCAAAAATAAACACCAAAGTGTTATTTTGCTTCTAAAAAGGATGTTTAGAAATTTTACACCAAAATATTGAGTTGTACTGCAGATAACAATGAAGGAGCTTTCAAGGGGTAAAGATATTTTCTCACGATAAAGCAACAAAAAAGAAACACACGCACACAAACACATACATCTTTTTTTTTTTTTTTTTTTTTTTTTTTTCTCACCAGAAGAGAAGAATGAGCCATGGTAACATAATAGCTCCTTAGGGTAGAAATCTGTAAGAAAAGTGACAGTATCTTTCCAAGTGACTTATTTCCAGGCATGGGGGGAATTCAGAGCTCTGACCTAGTCACCCAAAGTACTCAGTTCCTAGCTTAGCAACCCTTCATCTACTCCGAGACCCTGCTCACATTCTCTGCCTCCACACGGAGTGAGGGAGCAGGGCTAGCAATGTGTGCTGGGTTTATTAGGGAGTTGGACTTCAGTAACTGACAAGATAATCAATAGACTTTGTAGTCTGTAATCTGGGAAAAGTGAGCTTGAATTTTAGCTCCAGCCCTTATTGATGGGATAACCTTGGAAAGTTACTTGTAATAGATGCTGGCATGCATCATCCTCCTGGAATGAAGAACTGACTCTATTTCTGAATTCTGGGAATGCTACTTGCAGCTCTCCAGCCTCCTCAGGCATTCCTCCAGCTGAAGAGAACTTCCCTACCCAGGGTCACATTCCTATTCCCTAAGACTTCCACCCAATGACCAGTGATAAAAGGTCGGGCTCCTCACCTTTGCTCAGGACAACTGCAAGGCAATCCCAATTTCGTGAGTCTTAAAGGGCCAGCTGCAGACTTCTCAAGACATCATCTCAGTTTCTTCATCTGGCCAGTTGTGCTTCCTTTCTTCCCTCTGTCTTTCACGGGCATTGATCCTAAGAGCACTCTCTCATAAGCTTCTCTTTGTCTCTGTTTCCCAGGGAACGTGTGTGCCATTTCTTAATTACTAAGCTATAATGTGTGTAGAAGTACAGACTCTGATTCAGTAGGTCTGGAACAGGTCTGAGATTCTGCATTCCTGGCAGGCTTGTAGGTAGTGCCAACGCCGCTGGTCTGCAAAACACATTCTGAGTAGCAAGGATATGAAGTCTTAAATCAAATAATATATATAAAGTGCTTAGCACAGTGCAAAGGTTGTGGTTGTGTGTGTAGTAAGTTTATTTATTTATATTGTCAAATAATTAGACACAATATATTAAAGCGTACACGGGTAGATTAGATGAACAGATAACCCGGTGAACACGGATATGTGTAGGGCATTTGTTTGCAAAACATGCCCTGAAAGAGAATGAAAATGAGGACTTTCATCTTGTTCTGACTCCTGTCCCAGCTAAGCAGCCCCTATTAACTCCTGTTATCGTACCATATGAGTTTGTTCCTCCCTGTCCTCAGTAATTGGTTGCTCATCAATTTCCCCCACTTCTAAATTTTTCTTGAGCCCGTCCCCTTTTCATTCTCATTTCTGCTGCCTTAGTTCAGGTCCTTCTCATGTCCGTAGCTACACGTTTCCGGATCCTTGTGATGGATCTCTGCCACTCCCAAAAAGAATCTTTCTTCCACAGTTTCCTGATGTTGATATTTTAGAGCACAAATCTGATTGTGTCATTCTCCATCTTAAAAACCTTGAACAGCTTTCCTTGCCTGTACGGTAGAATTGACATCTTCTTACATAACATGTAAGGACATTTAATGCCTAGCTTCTTATAGTCCTACAAATTGAATTTCCCACTCTTCATCAAACATGCCATGATTTTTCACATTGGCTGTGAACTTACATGTTGTTTTCTCTTCCAGGTATAGGTTCCCCTTTTTTTTTCTTTCTTTCATTTTTTTTTTTTTTTAGATATTTAGTTAAATAGTTATTTGAAGGGGGGCAGAGAGAGAGAGAGAGAGAGAAAGAGAGAGCACACACAAGTAGGCAGAGCAGCAGGCAGAGAGAGAGGGAAAAGCAGGCTCTCCCCTGAGCAGGGAGCCCAATGTGGGCCTAGATCCCAGGACCCTGGGACCATGAACTGAGCCAAAGACAGCAGCTTAACTGACTGAGCTACCCAGGCACCTCAGGTTCTCCTTTTCTTGACAAGATTTTTCTTTTTTCTTTTTTTTTAAGATTTTATTTATTTATTTGACACAGAGATCACAAGTAGGCACAGAGGCAGGCAGAGAGAGAGGAGGAAGCAGGCTCCCCGCTGAGCAGAGAGCCCGATGCGGGGCTGGATTCCAGGACGCTGGGATCATGACCTGAGCCAAAGGCAGAGGCTTTAACCTACTGAGCCACCCAGGCACCGCCCGACAAGATTTTTCTCACAGGCATTTTGCAGCCCTGTGTGTCGATGGCATTCTCCACATGCTTTGTTTTCTTTTATATATTATAGGGTATTATACTTATTTGTTTATTTGACAGTTTCCTTCACTACTATGAGCTCCGTAGGATACTTTGTCTGTATCACAAATCTCTTCTCATACTTAGTTGACTTATTCATGATTGTTCTCCATGTGTAACACAAACCCTGTGTAACACAAGCCCTGACACATAGTAGACCCTCAAAAAGAACTGGTGAATGAACAAAATATTGAATCTCTTTAGTAGGATAAAGTCCAAATCATGATTTAAAACCTTTCTTATGCGTTTGAAATTGTAAGAATCAACATGTCAACGTATGTTGTTTTGGTAGTAATCTATCTTTATTTATTTATTTATTCTTCTGCAACTTTGAGATTATTGTGTTGAGATACCACAGAATTCACCCATTTAAAACATACAGTTCAGTGGCTTTTAGTGTACTAACATGGTTGTCTATCCATCACCACAGTCTTATCATAGAACATTTCCATTATCTCCAGAAGAAACCCTGAAGCCATTGACAGTCACTTCCATGTCCCCTTCCCCACAATGTCCAGCAACCCTGATCTACTTTCTTACTCTATAGATTTGCCTATTCTGGACATTTCATGTACATAGAATCACACAACAGGTGTTTTTGCTATTGGCATCTTTCACCACTATGTTTTCAAGGCTCATCCATTTTGTAGCATATATTTGCATTTATTGCAAAATAATATTACAACATGTAGATCTACCACATTCTGTTTATCCATTCCAATCGATAGGCATTTTGGTTGTTTCCATATTTTGGCTGTTGTGAATAATTCCGCTTCGAACATTTACATTTTTGTGTGAACATATAATGTGTTCTTAAGGATATGCCGAGGGATTTCTCAGTCATATGGTAACTCTCTGCTTAACGTTTAGAGGTACTAGCAAACTGTTTTTCAAAGTGGCTGTACAATTTGAATTCCTGCTAGCAGTGTATGAGGATTGCAATTTCTCCATGTTCTTGCCAATGCTTGTTGTAGTTGCTTTTAAAATTAATTTTACAGTGTTGTGTTTTTTAATAACTTTTAAGTGTCTTATGAAAGTTTCTCAACTAATCCTGAGTTTATGCAATGTTATCAAGTCTATAGGGAAGTTAAAGATGTTGGTATACCTGGATATGTCAAAAAACAGAATAGAAACGGTTGACATGGACATTTCTGGATGTGAAGCCCTTGAGGACCTTTTACTGTCATCCAATATGTTGCAACAATTGCCTGACTCTATAGGTGAGAATATTCTATTATGTGATGAATGTTTATATAAAATATATCATTTGCTTTTTTTGTCATAGTCCTAGTTTATTAGTAGATATAGAGAATATACTGTTAGCCTGACTGATATTAATAAATTATCAAGTTCATTATTCAAGATGTAATAATAGTATTTTACCAATATTTTGAAATGAAATGGTAACACTTGTTGTCAAATTCAAGAAGGCTCTCTCATTAAAACGATCTTACCAAATTAACATATTTTTAAAATTCAGATCTTTTAAGTTGTAAAATGTTATTGTAAAAAGTGTATTTCTTAGATTTAGAGTAATTTAATAACCATGTATGTCTCCTTTTATCACCATAGAATTAGCTTCTATCCACAGAGTGTTGCCATACACTATTTTCAATACTATCATAATACTGTTGTAATCTAGAAATAACATAAAGCTGTATAATAAATATAAAATCTCTTTGTGATTCTATTATTAAAACAGATACATTGTCTTTTATATGCTGTTAAGATTCATGACAGTAGAGAATTTGTGTTATATATGTCAAGCACACAATCCATTTTTGTTACAAATTTTTATATGAGTAAAATAACTAAAGACCCCTTCTAATTTAATAATGAGCAAATCTTTTTGTATGGACATCTTACTATTATTTATGAGAGGACTCAGGAGGGTAATCAGCCAATTATTTAACTTCAGAAATTAGCTTTTAACACTCTTTGAATTCAATGTGTCATATATTCTGGAACTTATTAAAGCCTCTGAAAATTAAGTTACAACCTAGGTACTCTGATTGAAAGGAAGCAAGAAAACAAGGCAGTATTTCAAATTTTTTTCAATACTTTATTGTCTCCACTTTCATCATTCTTCATTGCTGATAGAAAATACTAGTTATAACAAAGCAGGCTAGGCTTTTTTTCTTTCTAATTGATAATTTTTTTATGTAACCACATAGTTTATAACAGTATTTTTCCAGCTCATTCCATTGTAGCACTTACCTGAGAGCTTTATTGAACACATACACATTTCCAGTTTCTTTCTCTGAAAATTCTGATTCAGTACGTTTGTGATAGGCCCTCTGATTTGTTTTTATTAAAATCTTTGATGAAACTTATAATCAGATGAGTTTAGAAAATACTCTTTTATGTCATAGAAAGTGAGGAAGTATAATGGTTAAAAGTGCATCCTTGGATTAAGAAGACAGAGGTGACCTTCTCTGGCCAAGATAACCACTCAAATTACCGGCCTTGAACTCCCACTCAATCACCACTCCATATCTCTTCAAAGACATAATGAGAATAGAAAAATGATTTATATTTGAAGAACGTATTTTTTTTTATTTTTTTTAAGATTTTATTTATTTATTTGACAGAGAGAGATCACAAGTAGGCAGAGAGGCAGGCAGAGAGAGAGAGGGTGAAGCAGGCTCCCTGCCGAGCAGAGAGCCCGACGCGGGACTCGATCCCAGGACCCTGAGATCATGACCCGAGCCGAAGGCAGCGGCTTAACCCACTGAGCCACCCAGGCGCCCCTGAAGAACGTATTTTTGTTCCTTCCTGCCTCCTCAGTACCAAGAACTGTGTCTAGTTTATAATAAGGGTTCCTTAAATATTCAGCAAATAAAATAATTTAGCCATGCTTAAAAAAAATAAACATCTACACGAACCTGAGCTAGAATGGAAATCGAGCAATGACCCCACACCTGACGGGCTCCAGACCACAACAGCAGTGGTGTTGTGAGTTCCATTTATGCAGGGGGCGGGGAGTACCTTAAGCATAGCAGCAGAATCCAAATGCACAGGAAACTGAGGCAGCAGCTCCTTTTCTGTGAAGAGCGCCTAAAACAATCTACAACTAGTATGTGGAGCTGACACTGATGAGAACAGATACAGATTCACTGCTGAAAACTGTGGAAAGTCCCAGCTATTGTGGCCGGATCAGATCTGCACTACCCACATGGGATGAGAGTGCCGTGTTGCTAATATGAGACCTGGTTCTGAACTCCAGAAACCTGGTGTCAGCGGTAGGTGACCACACAACTGCCAGACAGGGAGGGGTGAGCACAGATAAGGAGTGTCACCCTCACAAATGAGCATGCAAACAGAAATCTCAAAGGAAAACTAATGTTGCAACAACAACAAAAAACTCAAATAGGAAAATTTACCCAGGAAAAAAACGAAAGTCTTCAAGCATTATAAAAAAAAAAATGATTTTTAAGTATATGTAGATCCTCAAATAGACAAAAGTTACAATAATGGTCCTAAAAATAGTAACTTATAAAAGAAAAACAAGAACTACGGGTTATGGACTTTGGGGAAGTTATGTGCTATGGTGATTGCTGTGAAGTGTGTAAGCTTGACGATTCACAGACCTGTACCTGTGGGGCTAATAATACATTATATGTTAGTAAAAAACAAAAAACAAGAACTATGACTAAGAATAGGTGGTTATTAAAAAAAAAAAAAAAAACAATTTGAAATCCTGGAAATGAAAATGGCCCATAGTAAAATAAAAGATGATATAATTATTTGTTTAAAATATCTTCCTTTAAGGAAGCAGACTAAGAAATTAGCCTTCTGCTCTGGGGAAGACAGCATGGATGAGTGATAGAAAACATTAGATTAGGTATTTGGCTGGCATAAAGAAGACTAGGATAGATAGGCATACTATGTATTTAACACCTTCACTAAGAATCTGAATGGCTCTCAAATGAGGAAAGTAACTTTGTTATAACAACTTATTCAGCCTCAGACTCTACCTTTGGGCCCTGTTGACCTTTCATTGAAAATTACATTTATGCATCTGCAGAGCTTCCCGAATCCCTGATTATACATGTAGAATGGTTGACTTTACTCCAAAAATTCCCCTCTTGGTCAAGAGAAAGATCTGGGATAAGAGACTGAGAGCTGTGTTCTAAGGCCCTAAAATAATTCATTGATTCTGATTGGATGGGAAATTGCATCTTATCTTCTTTATTTGGACATTATTGGACCACCAACATTTAAGAAAACAAAAGATAGGAAATTTCTTAGTATCAATTAAGGAAAATAGCAACTAAAATTAAAATCTTTACTTCCTTTACATCTCTTTTAGTCCTTCTGCAGCTACGAGGTATTTGAATAGAGTAATACACTCCACAAAACCTGTGTGCTGAGTCCCTTTCCTTGTCTGGTTCCAAGGAATATGACAGGGGCTCTTTTCCTTTTCTAGATAGAGCTTTAATTTATGTGTATATATATATATATATATATATATATATATATTTTTTTTTTTTTAACTTTCTAAAATACTTTACCTTACTCATTTTGTGGTTAAGAACACAGGTTTTGTAGTCAAGTTACCTGTGTTCAAATTCTGGCTTTTCTACCTTGCTAGCTTTGAGACCTTAGACCAGCTACTTAATTTCTCTGTGCTCAGTTTCTTCATCTATTAAGTAGGGCAGTAGTAGTACCTGCATCATGGGGTTATTTTCAGCAATAAATGAATTCATATATGTAAAACAGCTTAGAATAGTACCTGGCACATAGTAAGTGCTCATGGCATCTATTATAATAATATAATGATTATTATAATCTTAAATTTCATGACTGCACAGGTATTTGGCTTTCAGAATTCTATTACATGTGTGTAAATAACATGAAAATACTAGCTATTTTCTATAACAAATCATATTAATGTTTAATACATAGCTGCTTATTATATATTTTCATATAAGTAGCTAAAGATCATAGTAAAAGGCCTCATTTTTCTTTCCCTTCAATACTCCTTAGTTGGGAGTATAGAATAAAGAGGTAGGGAGTTAGGGAAGGACACAAATAGAGGGAAGGAAGAGAATAGAATATCTTTGATTCCTGTTGGGGTAGAAGAGGAAAGTCCAAAAAGATATGGTATAGAAATGCAGTAAAGGAATTATCTGCTGGAAGAAGTCATGAGCAATGAAGATAAGGTTGATGCCCTATTTCTGCACCAAGAACAACCATATTCCTATAGAAGCTGCACAATCTCTTCAAAGAGCGTTCCCTTGGATGGAATATGTGAACAACAACTGAGCAAGCTTCCTTTAAATCCACAGACATGGAGCTAAGCAGAGAGAACCAACTTGCTTCCACCTGTAAAGCTGCAAAAGCTTCCAGGGGGTGACAGAGCCACGACTCCATTCTTCAGAAAGCCCTGTTGCATCAACCTTTTGGTTTTTGTCCCTAACATGCCTCAAGATTTTTCACCACTACTTTCAGACTTTGGTGCTGTGATTCTCTTAAAGGCTACCTAGCAACTCAGTTTCATGGTACTAGCGCAGTGATCTGTGACCCCACCTGAAACCTGCTATGCCCCAGTCAGGTGACACTGAGACTGCCAAACCTCCTCTAGCTTCACTGGTGGGCAGGTGCAGTAGCTTGATAAGGGCTACCAAGTCATAAAAAATTTAGCTCTAATCCATCACCCCGTTTTTCTTGCCACAATTGACGAACAAGCTCTTTTCTATTTCCAAGGTTGATATTTCTTACATACGTACCAGTGAAGCTGAAGTGATTCAATCACCCTTGAAACATAAATGAATATGGCAGTGGGGGAGCAAACTTCAGAGATAAATGACCCCGGTGAGAATTGTCCTCTTTCCCAGGTGCTGCTGTTTTCAGCAGTGTATCCTGAGGGCACAAGCTGATGTATTAAGCTCCAATATTTTGTAGATATTTTCTCACAGCAGTCTGTCAGTGAGAACCTTTCTCCCCACTAGAGCAGAGATTCTGAGTGCTTCTACAGAATATGTAACTGAGCATACTGAAATTTAAAGTGCAATAATCACTTTTTATTTCAGATCTATTCTGACTTACTCTATGGCTTTAAGAAATCTTCAGAATACGTGAGGTGGGTGGGCGTGGTCCATGGCAGTGCTTCTCAAAGCATATTCACGAAACACTAGCTGTACAAGGTATGCCGCACACTCACAGGCATTCCGCAATAACTTCGGAAAGTCACATTGCTACATTAATATATTAAAATGTCCTAGAAAAGCTTCATTAAAGAAATATGTTTAATGTTGTTTAATTTAGCTTTTCCCAAACACATTTGACCATGGAACCCACTCTATCCATGAACACAAGTTTTCTGCAAAAAAAGTAACCTACAGTATATAGCATATTTTCCAATGCAAAACAAAAATTAACCACGCTTTGCCCTTGGGCCTTGGCTATTTAAGCCAGACTGATGCTACATCGTGGCTGGGTAAAGGAAGCTGTCTTCAATTACTCTGTGGCTATTACTCATTAAAACCCTGGGAATAGAGCAGTCGGAAGGGTATGGGAGGCGTAAATCTGACAGTGAAATATAAATAGTTGAAACTTCGATTCTTGGCCAGTTCTGTTCTGTATATTAAAATTGCAAGTTTTTGTGATTTCTGCGGATCCAACTCTAGGATTTATGGTAGCAAAGAGTATGAGGTCATATGTTGTAATTTTCCAAGTACATAATTATAACCGCTGCATCGCAATATTTCAGTACCCATTCGTTGATATTAGGCTTACTTCAGATTTGTTTTTAATTTGTATCACAACAGGGATGTTAGTTATTATCTTAGGAGTTAATTAAATATTAAATCACAGCTGGCTCAAAAATTTTCATCTGGTCCATTTGTGGTATGCTAGATATGGGAAATGTGGTAGTGTTGCTGTCTTCGGTTTCTGTGGAGCCCTATGTTGTGTTTATTTGTCTGCATTGATGAACCTGAACTCCCACTGATGCAAGTGAAGTTTTTAAAACTGGAAAGTCAAGATTAGACTACACACAAATATAGCTGTAAGTTTATATAAGCAGAGTGTAGCCAGTTGGCATAATAAATGGTCATCACAAGTGATTCTTTTCTTTCTTATTGTATTTCCTGTCAGAGATCTGTTCTTGTGTATTAATAAAGCTTCTTCTCTGTTTTAGGACTGTTGAAAAAATTAACAACTCTAAAAGTAGATGACAATCAACTTACGATACTACCCAACACAATCGGAAAGTAAGTGCCAAAGTTTCATACCAGTCAGCCCCTCTTAGCCAGAAACAAAAGGATATGCTGAATCTTTGTACTTCAAAACATTTCCTATCTTAATTTAGTTTTATATCTGAACATTGCATTGACACTATATAATATCATGAGAAATAGCTATGACTCTTTCATAAGTAAAGGGATTACCCAGATCATTAATTATGTTATTGCCTGTAATTTTCCAGATACTATTAATTTGATGTTTTTGACTGAGTAGCAACTCAAAATTCACTTGAACATGTCTTGTGAAGTCAAATCAGTTTGTATAAAGCTCTATAGTTTATAATATGTTATCATTATACCATAAGTGATTTATATATTATATTTAGTAATTGTTATTTATAGTAGTAGTACTATAAAATAGTACTGTAAATGTTATTTCTAAAAAATAAAGTTATTTGCCTTTAAAAGTATGAAAATGATTCATCAAAGATAAATGGGCTTATTCAATTCAAGGTTGATTAGGTTGATTACTGGCTTGCAGGGATAAAGGTTAAGAATCTTATTATAAAGCTCATGTTTTTAGATTTCTTTAAGTGCCATTACCTTCCTTTGATTATTGTTTCAGGAAAAATGAAAGAGGAGTGTTAGAGGAATGAACTAAAACAAAACAAAACAAAAACTGGTGAAAAAAAATAAACAAACAAACAAACAGAAAGAAAGAAAGAAGCCAGTGGGAATTGTATGGGCAATCTCTGTACCTTCTTCTCATTTTACTGTGATCCTAAGACAGCTCTAAAAAAAAAAAAAAAAAAAAAAAAATAGTCTTTAAGAAGAATGACTGACAAACTGTTTATTTATTTTTTTTTTATTTTTTTTAAAAGATTTTATTTATTTATTTGACAGACAGAGATTACAAGTAGGCAGAGAGGCAGTCAGAGAGAGGAGGAAGCAGGCTCCCCACTGAGCAGAGAGCCTGATGCAGGGCTTGATCCCAGGACCCTGGGATCATGACCTGAGCTGAAGGCAGAGGCTTTAACCCACTGAGCCACCCAGGCACCCCGCAAACTGGTTATTTAAACTTGTGTTTGGGGCAGACATTTTGTCGAAAATGAACTAAGTGAGCTTGTCTCTTCAAGAACAACTGATAGTATTTGTCACTCACAGTAAAATTTGAGCTATCAAGCAAAAATTGGAATTTTGGAAAATTCCTATCTGCCACTGTGAGCCTGACAGCTTCCCAATACTTACAAGCTTTTCTGATAAGACTAGTGTGATATAAATTAATGTAATTTGTTGATATTGTGCTATGAAATGTGTGAACATCTTGAAAATCTGTATAACTCAGTGAAGAGGTATTTCCAAATGACAAATGCATGAATTACAAAATCAGACATGAGTAAAAGACCCATTCAAAATGCAAAATAGACCGGTTGATTTTAATGTATTGGTATGAAGAATAAGAAAACTCATTGGTATAATTTCAGATTCTACATTGCAGTTATCCCCTAAAAAACTGGTGGTTGTTGAGTTTTGGTATAGTATCAAAGAAAAAAAATCACAATTATCCAAAAAGACTGTTGAAAAATTCCTTCTTTTTTCAACTACAAATCTGTGTGAGGCTGGATATTGTTATATATAATTCAGTCAGAACAATATGTCACAACAGATCGAATACATAAGCAGAGAAGAGATCTAGTACCATCCATTAAGCCAAATATACAAGACATATACAAAAATAAAAGTGTCACCTTTTTCATTAAATGTTTTTTAGAAAAAATATAGTTACTTGGAATAAAGATACATTAATTAACATGTTAAAGGTTTACTATTATTATTTAATAGATACTAATTATTTTTTAAAACTCCTGTTTTAATCTATAATATAGTGATACCAATAGATATAAAAAAAAATAAACACATGTTCTTTGAGTTACCAATGATTTTTAAGAGAGCAAATGGGTCCTAAGACCAACCAATTTTGAAGATATCTGTTCTATATCACATCATGTTTTATATAGTAAAATTATGAGAGCATTGTCTAACTTACATTCTTACTTCAAGGTAACACCTGAATACAAATGTTTTGTATTTGCACGTATGGCATAAAATAAACTAAATATCTAACATTTTATAGAATACCTTAATAAGCAATTTGTATGAAATAAAAATAACAACAATAGCCATGATAGCTTTGTTTTTCTTAGAGAATTCAAAATTGATAGATCAGAGGTTTAGTGCAAGTCCTAAAGGTAAAATTTGATTATGATCTTATTTAATGGCACCCCAAGTCACATGCAAAAAGTACTCTACTCGCAAAGAGTAGAATAGTCTACATTTATTCTACTCATAAAGGGTAGAATAATATAGATAGAAACAGACTACCTAGAACTCTGGACATCAAAATCCTAGATATGTTATGACCTGCTGTAGTTATATTCTCATTCTGCACTTAGAACGTTTCAATGTTTGAATTATCTTAGGTCATTTTTAGTAGTCCAATATTAAAAACTGCTAGGATTAATTTTTGAACATTTTTCACAGTTGAAGTAGATTCCATGACTTTTGTGTGAAATGGCATAAAATTATTTTGTTGTCAAACCTTAATTTGTACACAGAAGTTCCAGCCACTCTACGAATTGAATGTATAATGAAAAATAATAAATAACCTTTTTTCTCATTGTGCCAAATACCATGTTTGGTGCTTTACACACATTCCTGTTTAGTTAAAGCCCCCATTAATCATCTTCTATGTGTATTACTATCTCCCTCTCACTATCAACAGTTAGAGACTGAGGCTGAGAAAAGTTAACAGATTTCAAAGCTAAGCTGTTAGTTGACCTATGATGCCTCTTACTATACATGGTAGCTGAGTCACACATTTTGTAATACTTGGTAATTTAATGGGTCCCACTGCTCTAGAAGCAAAGGATTTTCCACAGGAAGACAAAATACATACTAAACCTTCTCTTTCTTAGCTTCATAGCCTTGGTCAAAGCAATAAAAACTAAAAAATCTGAATGGAAATTTTAAAAAGTCATTCCCTCATTGAGTATAGTAAACAGAATGACTGTTGGACTGGGAATCAGAAAATCTAAGTAACTAAGCAAAGCTGGGTAAGCCTTTTCTTCTTGAGCCTCAAATTCCTGAGCGATAATGCAAGGAGCGCTGGCTTTGGAGCCAAACAACATAGGTGTGAACCGTGGCTATGCCACTCACTATGTGAACTTGGACAAGTTATTTAACCTCTCTGTTGGCTTAGTTTCCTAATTTATAATATCTACCTACATCTATAATTTTCCAGTTCTTTGATCCAGATCTTTAGCCTGTATGATGTTAATACCCTAGATAGTAAATTCCAGTAGTCTAGGTACTAGACTGTTATAACAAGAAAATAAGTGAACTTTATTCTAGATACCCGAATGCTGAAAAACATTTTTCCCTCTGTTTCCTAATCGTGGAAGGATACATAAGAAACTAGAAATGTACACGGCTTTAGGGAAGAAAATGTGGGGGCTGGTGAACAGAACAAACAGAGAGACTTCTTTTTATTATATACTCTCTGTAGTTTTTGAATTTTTTATTATGAAATGTTATACTAGTTAAGAAATTAAAGACAAAACACAGACACACACACACACACACACACACCCTTCACTGGGTAAAACTCAAATTCCTCTACACAATATTCAAGTTTTTCCGTAGTTTCATTTAAACCAGTGGTTCTCAGCATGTGGTTGTCTGATCAGCCGCATCAGCTTCAGCAGGGAACTAGTTAGCAGTGCACATTCTGAGACAAAGCCAGATCTACTGAATCGAGAAACTTTAGACATTGGGCCGGCATGCTCTGTGTAAACAAGCCCTTCAGGGGATTCTGATGTATGCTAAAGATTGAGAACTATCTAGATTCAGCTTTCAGTTATTAGCTCTCTTCTCAAACCTGAACCTGTTGTCAGAATTACCTGAAATGCTAGTTTAAAATGAAGGTGCTTTAGGGGCCCCTGGGTGGCTCCGTCAGTTAAGCAACTGCCTTCGGCTCTGGTCATGATCCTGGGGTCCTGTGGTCCTGGGATAGAGCCCTGCATTGGGCTCCCTGCTTGGCAAGGATCCTGCTTCTCCCTCTGCCCACTGCTCCCTTTGCTTGTGCTTTCCCTCTCCCTGTCAAATAAATTTTTTTAAAAATCTAAGATAAAATAAAATAATACAAAAAAAAAACAAACAAAATGAAGCTGCGGTAGAGAGGAAGTCTACCATAGTGGCTGGTTGCTTTGGCTCTGGAGCCAGCCCTTCTGGGTTCAAAGTCTGGCTCTTTTTTTTTTTTTTTTTTTTGACACAGAGACACAGCAAGAGAGGGAGCACAAGCAGGGGAAGCAAGGGAGGGAGAAGCAGGCTTCCTTCTGAGCAGGGATCCTGATGAGGGGCTCAATTCCAGGACTCTGGGATCATGACCTGAGCTGAAGTCAGACACTTAACAACTGAGCCACCCAGGCGTCCCCAAAATCTGGCTCTTTGATTTGCTATTGGGTAACAGAGCCTTAGCTCCTTCCTCATAAAATGGAAGTAATAATAATAATACTGACCTCATAAGAATGTTGTGAGGATTAAATGTATTAATAAATAGTGCTACATAGTCACTAAATGTTTTCAAAAAATAGTTTGATAAAGTAAAAAGTTATTGATATTTCTGAGATTTGGATTCAAGAAATATGTTTACTATTTTTACAACTCAGTTCTTCTCTCTTCTTTCTTCTGCCCACCCAGACCACTGCAGTTTCCTCCCCTAAACTGAGAAGTTGTAGTATACCTACAAACTAGATCAGCATTTTCTGAATTATATTTCTCAAAACAGTTATTACTTGAGATTTTAATAGGTGTGACATAAAGATAAGTTTCATGGACAAATAAGTCTTGGGAACTCTGTATATAAGTTAGAGAACATTCTAACTTGTGATATTTTTCCATTTCTTATATCAGGTTCTTATTTATCTTTTGTATCATCATTTAACTTCTCCATTATTTTGCCATGTCTT